AGTCCTGCCTGGTCTAGGGATATGTAGATAACAGGTTTATTTTCTAGAACCACTATTTATTATTTATTTTTGGGTGTTGTTTATTTTCTGGGTCAGTTATTTTTAGAACCTAGAATTAGCATTGATATTTTCAGTTCAACTCTAGAGTGTTGATAGTAGTCATATTGGGTGATGTAGCTCATTCCTTTTACACTTTCTAATTCATTCATTTTATAGGACTTTGACAACTTTCATAAGTATGGAAGCCCAGTAGGGACATAAATTATTTTTCATAGTTTTTCCACATTCCTCCCATTTTCTATTACATTTTTCAATTACTTATTTATTTATTGAGATTATTCATTGAGATTATTGTGAATCACCTACCAGATTAAATTACATTTTTGATAAAGCCCTATTAATCCTGTGCAATTTTCAAAGACTTTTCTGTTTGTTAAATTTTGATCATTATTGATCATTTATTGTAAACAATAAATGATCAATTATTTTTGGAAACCTTACTATTAGAAATAAGGGGTAAAACTATCTCTTATTCATCATATGTCAAAAAGAAGAGAGAAAATGAGGAAAATTCTTTGATCAATGACATTAAAAATATGGAAGAAAATATTTCTGAAAGTAACTTAGAAGAACTATACGATAAAAAACAAGAATTAGAAAAAATTAGAAAGCACAAGTTACAAGGTAATTACATAAGAAGTAGAGCAAGATGGATTGAGGAAGGGGAAAAGCCCACAAACTATTTTTGTAAACTGGAGTCAAGGAATTTTACAAGTAAAATCATATCAAGATTAGAAATAAATAATGGTGAGGTTATTCATGATCAGTCACAGATTTTGAAAGAAATCAAATCTTTCTATGAAAATTTGTATACAATTAAAGAAGGGAATACAGACTTAAATTTAGATAATGAGTTGATACATACTGATGTTCCCAAACTTTCTTGTGAAGAATCAAACCATTTAGAGGGTGAAATAACCTTGTTAGAAGCCTCAAATACTCTTTATAATATGAAGGCTAACAAATCTCCAGGATCTGATGGTTTCTCCACAGAGTTTTTTAAAATGTTTTGAAAATATATTGGGCCTTTTGTCGTAAGATCTATTAACTATGGTTACAGGAATGATATCATGTCTATTACACAAAGACATGGAGTTATAACATTATTACCTAAAGGTGACAAGCCAAGACATTTTCTTAAGAACTGGCGTCCTATTACACTGCTAAATACTGTATATAAAATAGCATCTGGCTCTATTGCAAACAGATTTAAAAAATATTTAGATAAAATAATCAACCCTGACCAAACTGGTTTTATCTCCAACAGATATATTGGAGAAAACATAAGATTGATATATGATATAATGCACTTTACAGAAGAAGAAGATATTCCAGGACTTTTATTACTGATCGATTTTGAGAAAGCTTTTGACTCTCTTTCCTGGAACTTCATACAAAAAGCATTACATTTTTTCAATTTCGGCCCTTCCATCAGAAAATGGGTCACTCTTTTATACACGGATATTAAAGCTACTGTTAATCAAGGTGGTAATTTTTCTGATGTAATTGATATTCAGAGGGGATGCAGACAAGGAGACCCCTTGTCTCCATATATTTTTTTGATCTGTGCAGAGATTCTAGCCATACAAATTAGGAAAAATAAAAAAAAATAAAAGTATTACCATTAGAAATGTAGAAAAAAAGATCTCTCAACTGGCAGATGATACTTCCCTTATTCTTGATGGAAGTGATTCTCTTTTAGAAACATTGAAAACTTTGAACACATTTTCAGATATGTCTGGATTATGCATTAACTTCTCAAAAACACACACTGTGTGGATTGGATCCAAAAAATACAGTGATGAGGTTTTAATCCCAAACTATCAACTTAATTGGGTAACTACTAGTTTTATAACCCTATGATCCATATTGGAGGGAAAACCTTTTATAGTAAAAAAACTTTTTGACAATAATATTAGATATATTAATGACATTATTGGAGTAGGTGGCTTTTTTTTTATAGCTATGAATGCTTTTGCAATACTTATCCAGATATAAAGATTAATTTTTTAGAGTATTCTAGCTTGATCCATGCAGTTAAAGCTTGGATAAAGAGGAGCAATTTTGATAAAAATTTACAAAAATCAGAAAATCCTCTTATAATGTCTTACTTTTATCTTGTATCAAAATGCAAAAAATCAAAAAACTTCTATGAAATTCTCAATAAAAATTCTTCTATAACAGCTGGTTACAAAAAATGAATTGAATTATTTGATTTGGATAGTAAGGAATGCAAAATAATTCATAAATTACCATTTCAAGTCACAAAAAACTGTAAACTCCAGTGGTTTCAGTACAGAATTTTAAATAAAATATTGGCAACAAATTCTTTTTTATTCAAAATTAAAAAGGTTGTTTCAAAGCAATGTACTTTTTGTCAAAAAGAAGAAGAGACAATTGAACATATCTTATGGGAATGCGATCTTGTACAATCACTCCTTGAAAACTTTGAATATTATCTCCAGCAGAAAAATCTCCATTTGTCCATAACAAAAAAATCATTCATAGGTATTGGAGGAAAAAATAATGAAATAGCTAATATCTTAATCTTATGGTTGAAATATTATATTTATACTTCTAGATGCACTGAAAAACCTCTAAATGTGCACTCTGCGATATCACACTTGAGTTATTTTTACCAAACACAAAAATATATATCATATAAAAATGGTGAAAAAGAGAAATTTGACAATCAGTGGAACAGGTGGAACCAATTATTTTTGTAACTCTCTCTCTCTCTTTCTCCCCCCCCTCTCTCTCTCTATATATATATACACAATTCTGTTAAAGAAAAGATAATGGACATTTTGTATATAATGAATTGTGTTGAAAAAATAAAATAATTAAAAAAAAAAAAATTGATCATTATTTATTATTTGTTATCATTTACAACGGTTAATTCTCACTTTATTAAATTTATAAAACTTACAACTGTGTTTTCATTTAGCGTTGATCATAGTTCAGAAATCCCCTTACCTGGGTTGATCATTGATAACTGGAGATAGTTTACTCCTTTAAGCCAAGTTGGCTGGTAACTTTTGTAATTTATACACTAAAGAGTTCTACTTCCGGTTACACACTTATACATGTATTACCCATAAATCTGAATTTCTTTCACATGGAAACATCTCTTTTAAGAGTATCTACGTTTCAGTATTATGTAAAAATCTAGAGAATCTGCTTAAAAGTACCATGGAATTGGAACTTTTCAGTGTGCAGTATATAGGGGGTTCCCTAATCTTAAAACTTCCATTGCATAGCAAAGCAATCAAATACTGTGAACAAATTACTTTGAACAACATAGCATTTCATTTTATGTTGATCAAGACGCCTCCCTGCATAATTTCATAATACCATCTTTAAAGAAATTCCCAATCTCCTTTTGCTTGTCTAAACTATATAAAAGCAATAACGACAAATACAAAATGCATTTTTTACATTTGTATTTGTGTGTTGTTTTTTTTCTCCAAATTTCCGTTAAATCTCTATCTCACTTTAAATTCAAAGTACTAGAATTGGAAACTTATGAAGCACAAGCATGATATTATTCTCTTTAGATAAGTGGGCAGATATTTCCTACATGAAGCTTATGCCTGTCTATTTCTCTAAAGAGAACAGCATGCCATATACATAAGTTCCATACCCCAGTCATATGAATTCATAATATAATTTAAATAATTAAACTAATAAATGACAATTATTTTAGGAATGACTCTAATTCTTGGCCAAATTATTCGAGTATAACCTGGTTTGGGTCAGTTTACGCTTTATAATCCGCGAAGCGGATTATAAAACAGCGTAAACTGACCCAAACCAGGTTATACTCGAATAATTTGGCCAAGAATTAGAGTCATTCCTTATAATTTAATTCTAAAATCATTAAACAACTGTGGGTGTAAAATTTCGTTGCTTTTTATTAGTTCAAATTTGCCGCTCAATAATACAACCCTAGTAACGGAAGTGATGGGAAGCAAGGGGAGGTAAAAACTGATACATAGTCCTAGCAGCCATGTTTTTTGTTTGCATGTGGTAAGATCCGAGTTATTGTTTGAAGCTAAAGGTACATTTATTAAATCTGGAATTTTCCATGAATCCCGAGGACTGGAAATGAGAGCATTGCATGGATACAGACGATTCAGCTGGTTGTCAGGGGGGGGTGTCCCCATACCAAACCAGGTTATACAGAAATAATTTGTGTTCCTTTTTGGATATTAACCAATCAGAGGCTAGAATACAAACAAAATTAAATTATTGTAAAATACATATCAAATGTATTTACACTGTGTCATAGGATATATTTTAGGAATGACTCTAATTCTTGGCCAAATTATTCGAGTATAACCTGGTTTGGGTCAGTTTACGCTTTATAATCCGCGAAGCGGATTATAAAACAGCGTAAACTGACCCAAACCAGGTTATACTCGAATAATTTGGCCAAGAATTAGAGTCATTCCTTATAATTTAATTTTAAAATCATTAAACAACTGTGGTTGTAAAATTTCGTTGCTTTTTATGAGTTCAAATTTGCCGCCCAATAATACAAGCGAAGTAACGGAAGTGATGATAAGCGAGGGGAGGTAAAAACTGATACATAGTCCTAGCAGCCATGTTTTTTGTTTACATGTGGTAAGATCCGAGTTACTGTTTGAAGTTAAAGGTACATTTATTAAATCTGGAATTTTCCATGAATCATGAGGACTGAAAATGAGAGGACTGCATGGATACAGACGATTCAGCTGGTTGTCAGGGGGTGTGTCCCCATACCAAACCAGGTTATACAGAAATAATTTGTGTTCCTTTTTGGATATTAACCAATCAGAGGCTAGAATAAAAACAAAATTAAATTATATTGAAATAACAAAGCTGTTTACGTAATCACTGATACTATAGACCAGACAAGTGTACGAGGGCTCTACTCCATAAAACTCAAAAAAAAATTATAAGTTTTATACACCCACATTTAATCTTAAGAGTAATCATTCTTTGTACTCACACAAAGAATACCACAGTTATATAAGCACAGCATACATAAAACAATGGTTATAACATTTACATATTAAGGTATAAGTATTTAACATACATAAGTTATTCGCATATAAATAATAACTATAGCACAATAATATAAACCAGCAATAATCTGTATTTTAATTTCTGTGATTCTACAATATGTCTTTGTATCAGAGCAGACATAACACTCTGATGAAGATTGAAATACAAAGCGTAGAAGACAAAAATGGTTAAAATTTCTTAAAATTAATACATATACATGTAGTTATAGACTGATTTAACATTGCATAATTATATTGTTAACAAAGGTTTTATATTTACAGAAATAATGGTCAGTTATTTAACGTTCATATTGACAGGAGAAAACTACCACTACACAAAAATGTATTTTTACTTCATTTCCAAAGTTATGGTTACTTTTGGTAATACGGTTTCATGAGATACAAAATTGTGATTGTACGGAAAATGTCACAGATGGACACTTGAGGTATTTCTGTATTAAAATAATAAATATGCAATAACTGTATATCCACGATTTCACTGCACATACACAAGTACTGAAATTCAGGATTGTCTGTTATCGAAAAATTAGTTTTTAACACATGGCACATCAACCATTGTCTTCAGCATAAAGCACATAACAAAAAAAATGCAAAATTACCGATGATATAACTTTATAGACGAGATTCTAAAACATTCTCAGGAATGCATTTTTATAAGTAACATGTTCTTACATATTACCACATGATTGAAAATACAAACATCTCATACTTCATATGAACTTTAAAAGTAATAATTAATAAAAGTAACATAGAAATACATGTCAGATTATACATAATATAAAAGATATTCATGTATTTTTTTTTCCATTCTTACTAACAGATGATATGTTATTTCAATGGCATTTTCTCCATTCAATCAACTAATTAGTATCAAGGTTAAGACCTCAGGGAATTTCTTCTTTTCTAATGATTGAAAAATGTAGGAAGAGTTAAACTCTGTCTGTTAAGCTGGTTCAAGTCTATCATGATCAACAAAACCTGAATGTAGAAAATTGAAAAGTTTGATTTCTTCGTGTAAAACAATGATTTCCTAAGTAGTAAAATGTAAAATGTTAAACGGACACAAGAAATATTTGCTTGGCAGTTTATTTATGAAAGCCCTTAAAGGAATGTAACGGGGACTAATTAATGTTACAGAGAAAAGAAAAGTGGATTTCATGTGGAAAAGGAATACATATACGTACATGTATATACATAACAAAGATTATGTCCTAATTGTATCAGATATTCAAATTTAAACCAAAGATAATTTCCTAAGTATATCAGATATTCCAAGACTGTATCAGATATTCCAAGACTGTATCAGATATTCCAAGACTGTATCAGATATTCCAAGACTGTAGATACACATGAAGAACAAGACTAAATGTGTCAATTCCTCTTTCTACCAAAATGTGACCTTTCTATACATCAACTCATAAAAACATTCAATTTTTTAATGACAACCCCAGCAAACAATAACAGAAATTCAGATAATGTTAATTCTACCAAAGAATGGATTCATTTTTTTTCAAAAGGTTTATAGGTTTGCATATCATGTCTAAAAAGTGTTTACCCTCAAAACACAAGCATGTGTGAATATAACAAGAAAAATTGGGACACTAATTCCATTTCATTATACTTATTTCCCTCTGATGAAAGAAAAAAAAAGATTAAAATTGATTCCTATTTAATTAAATTCTAGTTTTCTCACTTGGATATGAGTTCTTTCTCTGAGGAATCCTCACCCTCCTCCATTTTCTCAGATATCTGAGCCATGTCTAATTTATGTTTCACTTTCATTTCCTGTCTCCGTACTTCAGTGTATGCACCAGATCCGAATAACACAACAAAGTTACTGGTCCACCACAGCGGTGACTTGTGGTCTTGATAGTATATACACGCTAACACAGTCTGAGCACAGGCTTTAGCTGTTCCCGATATGTTGTGGGTGAGAGGGGAAGTCACCTGGATCTGTAATCCGGTTATATATCCTATGGCAAATCCGAACACTCCACCTATGGTCATATAGGTCCAAAATGTTGTATTCCCTAGTTTTGGAAAACTCCAGACTTCCCCGATTTCCCCAAACACTAACATGAGGGGAAGGAAGAGGAAGCAGGCGTTAACGTTATTGTAGAAGGTCAGTCTCCAGATATTGTTGTCCACCACTGGGAGCACTTTTTTGGTGTAAATAGAGTTCAAGGCCACACTGGCACTAGCCAAGACGCCGAACACTACTCCCATTACAGATAACGATCCTATAATACAAAGAATAGTGACTGATCATGCTGATAGAGCTAAGCATAAAAAGCTCAGGGTTTGACATTAACTTTTACAAGTACTAGACCAGTCAGGCTACTTTCCATAACTGTTACTCTCCCTGACAATAAAATCACTAGCCCTGACCACACTTGCAAATTACTTCTTTTAATCAGAAATTTTAATGAGGTAAGTTTTAAAACTATACTTTAGTTTTAAAAACATCGTCTCTTGCGCATGAAGATTTTGACTGTTCGATAAGTCTCAGACAATGAAGTCAAGGTCATTGGGACATGCAAATTTTGTAAGTGTAAAAGAACATTCAACGAACTTTAGTAAAATAATTAGCCTAAATATTAAGAAATTAATCAAAGAAATTGAAAGAATATACAGGTAAACTTCGTTATCTCGACATCGACGGGATCATTGGAAAATGTCGAGATATCGGCTGTGTCGAGATATCCCAGATGAGACTTGACGTCAAAGATTTCACTTCATCACAAAACAGACAAGCTTATTATATGTACATGACTTCAATATAGACTGTAGCTCAACATATTTCAGAATTCCCTCTATTTTTATTAAAAATCTAAGAAGTTATTTTAAAAATCTTGTTTATAAAACGTGTTCTTAATCAAAATCTTTCTAAATTCACAAAGTTACAGCATTCGCGTGTAACTTGCCTTTTGTCAGAACAGGATACGAAATGCGCTCTATAAATTTCGAACCATATAAAGTCGACATCTGCTATACGTAAAAAAAATTAAATGCGGATTATTTTTTCTCTTATTTCATTCAGGAAGAATGTACATTAAAATTAATATTTTTAAAGAAATTTGTGTATCTAAACTAACGTAGTGATGTTACAGATGCATGAATTTCTGCTGATTTGGTCAATCATGTCGTTAATTGGATTGTTTCCTGTTGAATACATTTTAACTACAAAACATAATTAAAACATCTTTTAATTCCTTAGTTTGAATTATTCAGTGTGCTTGTTATTCATTGTAATTTAGTTACCTTTTTCAAATTTAAAAGTTATGGTAGGTTTCGATATAAATAATCGTCTGTACATTTATGCAGAATCATGTAGATTTAGCAATGATACATGTATTACCCAAGCTGAACATTAAGCAATTAACTTCTCAAAGACACTGAGGGGGATTCACCTACAAACATAGTCTACAGAATTAATTAAGCAGCGTGCAGTAAAAACATGGGTGTGAAAGATGTGAAATTTTGACGACGTCGAGATACCCGGAGTCGTCCGTGCGTGACGAGCCACCCTATCTGACAAACAGTTAGGTTCAGTAGAGCCGATGTCTACATATACCAGGTGAATTTTGTTCTTGGGACTGTGAATATAAGTCGAGATAACCCAGGTTGTCGACATTACCAAGGTCGACATATCAGAGTTTTTGCAAATCATTTATATAGTAAATACTGCCGGGACCGCGGAAGGACGTCGACATATCCCAGGTTGTCGACATATCAGATGTCGAGATACCAGAGATTACCTGTATAATACGATAACAATTTATACCATAATAATAGTAAATGACACAGTGATGGCAGTGTTTTCAATCTGACAAATTGTCTTGAAAAATTTTAGAATATTTAATAATTGAAAGACTGTAATGGGATTTAACATTTATATCTTATTTGTCAAAGGTGCATTCATATAGTCATGTATGTGTTTGCAATTTCTGCAATACCTCTTATATTGGGATTTGAAATATTTTATAATTCAATTATTTGTCATTTAACTTCAGCATGAACCATTTGCAGAAATTACCAATTATATATGGTTATATGGTACCATACAGCTTCCCTGGAGGGGAAGGGGTGAGTGGATTATTAATCTATTAACTTAGCCACTAAACTTTGAATTCTCAAAAATAAAAAATCAATACTTCAAAGAAATGTGTTCACATTTAATTAAGTACCCTCTATGCACTGCACACTGAAGAATTCTAATTCTGTGGTATTTTTATGCTGTTAGAGTGGTCTGCCATTAGATCTCAATTTAAAAATAATTGAAATCTACTGTGTATTCATCAATTTGCAGTCAATTCAAGCATTCTTAATATTCTATTGGGCCAATATAAATTAATTGAACACTTCATTTGTATGTAGTTTCCCCATTTAAGTAAACGACAGTGATTTTTGCTCATCAATACTTTGTTGTCTTTTAGCATTTTTCCTGAGAGGTAAATGACAGATACCATTTGCTGAAAATGAAATTGATGTATTCAATACTCACATCTTTATACCATAATATAATTTTCTCAGTGTCCCAAAAATATTTTTCAATAGTGTATAGAGGGTCCTCAATGTTATTTTTAGGTTTACCTGCTACTCCTTCTTGATCGACTCCCATGAAAAATCCTCCAATGATTATAAGACAGCATACAATGGCCTTGATAGAGGTTGTCTGTTGTAGCATTGTGTAGGAAAACACCTGGTAAAAAGAAAAGCAACATGAGAACTGAACTACTGAAACACTCCACACAGATCTATAAGACAGCACACAATGACCTTGAATGCCCTTGATGGAGGTCATCTGATGAAGCATTGAATCACAGGAGAACACTTGTGTTAAAGACAACATTAAGTGTACTGAATTACAGAAAAACTCTACAATACAGGGCTTCTAGTCACCCAAAGATTTGATAAAATTTCAGCTTAACAGCACTTAGGATGTCAAATGTTCTACTTAAGCTTGAATAATTGTATTATTTGACTAAGGTTTAAAAACAAAGAGTCAAACAAATTGCCAAATTTAATTTGGGCTGTAAAGATATGTCCTGTAAAATAAAACCACCTAGTAAAATACATTATTTTTTCCTGTATGATAGACCGGTACACTAAAAACTTAATTCAATCATAAGAGAGAACACTCGTACTACTGATACAAACCACATTGAATACTGTAGTTAATGAGCGTCCTATGTAATAGAAGGCAACTCCCACATACTTCAAACACAGGTTGTTAAACGATATCATGCAGCAAAATACTATGGATAAGGGCAGCACCTGAAATATAAATTGAAAGTCTGCAACTGAACACAAACCGTTGACGACAAAATTCTACAGGCCGTTTTCAAATACACGTACAATTGATGGATAAACCCTGGTATCTTTACCGTTACAGAAAAGTTTCATGGAAAGAATCCTTGCATCCTGCATTTGCTGTTGTACATTTATATAACATTACAATTGCCTGTAAGATGACATCCAGGGTTTTCCCTTGTTGAACGAGTCGGGATACACCCTTTACATCCAGCTAATGCTGGTACATGTATACCTTTCTAAAGATAACATCCAGGAGTTTCCCTTAACGCACAAATTAAAAGGAATGTTCTGTCGTTAAAATGGTATTGTCCTACATGTACAGACCCAGTTTATTGATAGAATTCGTTCTGTGTTGTCAATGTAGCAAAATAAACAGGGGCAGATGATAATTCTTATCTACATGTATACTAGGAACAATCCAAAGACTTCTGAATGTCAACATGGCGAAGAAAAAAAAATGTGTAGAAAATGAGCTGAATTTTTGTCTTTATATGGATTATTTTTTAGGGTAGAAGGTAGGGCTGTCACGAGTACCCGAAATAACCGAGAACCGCGGTCCAAGTTGTTCGGTTCGGTTTCAGTTCCATTTTCCGGATTTCGGTTCGGGTCTGGTTTATATATTAGAGTCTGTTCAATACAAAAATGGCGTCGAAATCAAAGGAATGATGGCGATAACAGTGATAAATAAACATCACAACTGAAATCTACTTCTTTCCATGACAAAACACTTGACACGGAAGTATTAGATAATTATCAAAACGAGCAGGAATAGTCAGGTTGTGGCTAATTGTAGGCCAAGTAGTTCTACACACCGATGTCTAGACGTTCGCATGGTTAAGACTTGTTTTCAATGTAAATTTAATGTAACAAATAAAGATTTTTCAAGTTAAATTCATGAAATTAAGGTTTAAAATAGATGTAAATAACCGAACCGAAAAACCCGAAACCGAACCAAAAATTTACAGAACCGACCCGACCCGAGAAATTTTGGAACCGTGACAGCCCTAGTAGAAGGCATGTACAAGCTCAAAAATCTTGATGATTAACTTGGTTATTTTCAGTGCAACTCTTTTTGTATTCTTCAAAATAATTTCAGAGCGTATCCGCTCCTATTTGCTAACATTGCAAATATGTGGGATGTTTCCTAACTGTGGTGAGGGCTTTTCCCAAGACACAGTTAGATTATACCGAGTAATACTGATTATGAATGAGTCAGAATACACCTTTTGTTTTATATTCTTATTCTTAAATGCCTCTAAAAACATGTTGAAGTCTAAAAAGTTATAAAAATACTCTATCCAACTTACCCCCTTCAAGACTTGTGTGTCAATTTGAATGGATGGAAAGGATATGTGATTTGGAAAAGCCTTAGACAGTGCACTCAGTAGACAACACAGCCCCACAGTAACGACACACTGGTACCACGTAATGAACAGAGGGGCATTCAGCTGTAATTATATTTATATTAACATATTAAACACTTGATGTTACCTGCTGATGATTTAATAGATTTCATTTTGCTTTTAATCAGCATGTGTATGTGTGTGGCTACAAGAATGTTCTTTTCTTTTTGCCTTACCTTTAAATCTTTGCTGCTTAGTAAATATTTGTTGAGAAAAACCATGGAAATAGAAATGACCCTGCAATATTAAATTCACAGTTTTTTTTACTTAAGTCGTAAGGTCTAAAACCATAAAAACTTGCAAAAGTTACATCAAAACTTGCATCTTACCATATGAAGTAATCAGGAGGAAATTCAAGTCATCATATTATTAAGAATAAAGGCGTCTCACGAACCAACTTACCAATATGCAGCGACCACTGACGCTATTTTAACCGACTTTGAAAAGAACGACTCCATCTTGTTTCTTCTGTACACCATAACAATGAGAAAATTTGCATAAATAAAAAACTTGTATATCCTGCCACGACTCTGCAAACTAAGGGAACCAGTTTTTGTGATGTGCAGCGAACCAGATATACGATAACACGTACTAAGAATATTCGAGAAGGCGACTGCATTTGGATTTTTACGGAAGCGTATTAGGGCCGCAGCAGTATCTTTATAAATTTGTTTTAACAAGTTACTAATTTGTTATAACAGATTACTATTTTTGATAAAGTGAAAGTGTATACAGATCTATGGAAGCCAGATGAGATCAGAAATCTTTTTACAAGTTGGATTTATGAAAATAATAAATGTACAAGCTCTGCAGCTACAGCTTTTGATCAATATGTTAATTTAATTTAATCAGTATTTTATTATGTAAAATCAGTTTACATAATTGGATTGGACATCAGGCATGGCCTATATAAGTCCTCTCCAAGAAGGTCAAGGTTACAAATGTTAAGAATTGACAATGATTTACAATCATGATGAAATGATTCATAATAAGTTACATTAATTTCTTTTGTTAACTAGAAATGGGAAAAAAAAAGAGAGATGAATTAATAAATTCACAAGAGTTATTACTTAGCATGTATACTCACTATACAATATAATGAAAAAAATAAAAGAGTGCAAACAAACAACAAAATAGAATAAGTAAACAAATGAAGTGCAAAAGACAAATATGCAAGGGAAAAAAAGCAAAGAAAATAATATTAATAATAATAAATAAATAAATCTGGAACAAGCAAAAACACTGGATAATAATAATAATTATATAAAAAAAAAAAGAATGGAAGTGCAAAAGACAAATATCCAAGAAAAAAAAAACAATATATATACATGGAAATGCTGAGATTTGAAATAAGTATAAATATCAAAAATATTAGGAAATTAATATTAAAACTTAAATATGCATACATGTGATTCTTCCGGCGGGAGACAAAAACTCCCGATATTTCACCCCCCCTTCCGCCCCTCCCGATTAATTTTTAAATCTTCCGTGTTTTAAAATTCTTCAAATTAAATATTATTTGCAATGTTTTTAATCATGTTTCATATAATTGCTTAGAATGAAAAGAAATTGAGATAACAACGCCAGTGCAATAAATTTCGTAGGAATCAACATGAGGTCGTATAATTATGTTGTAAAAATTAGTGATATATCAACTTGATAAAAGACCACTGATGTTTATTACTGAATGCAAAACATTGTAATTAGTTGCTAAAATGCCCAATTGCCATCTTCTAATGCTGCTTTGGTCATTAAAGGTGCAGTTATAATGTAGGTCACACTCTAGTTAAAAATAGATCACACTACAGGGTGTTGCTAAAATATACCCAACTCTAATTTGTTTATTTTTTAGAGGGTACTTTTTGTCATCTGTACATATTCTATTTTAAAAAAAACAAATTACTGACATAGAATTTGTTACATAAAACCTAGCTATGTTTTACATTACTTACTAGTTGATATATCAATACTAAATCAAAAATAAAATTTTATCCAATGTTTTAATGATGCTGTTAACTCTTAATTAATTTACAAGGAAATGAGTTGATTTCACTTTGAATACTTAATTTCACTTCATTTGAATAAAAACTTTATCATATTTTTCTTAAAACTAGACAACAACTTTATAAAATAAAATTTGTAAAGTAATAAACTGGGAGAAGGTATTTTTTCCTGAATTTTGGGGGTTGGATGGTCTTTTGCAATTTGAAAAAATGTCGATAAAAAATCTCCAGCTTTGAGACCCAAACTCCAGCTGAAAAATTTCAAATCTCCAGTTGTGATTTTTCAGTTCTGTCACATGTATGAATATGAAATATCAAAATCGCGATCGCTTTGAACACTTGATGTATAGTTGGACTGCTTCAAAAATTGAACAGTTAGTTTTATCAGGTAATTGCCTATCACCAAATAGCAAAGTATTCAAAATTTGATCAGGAGAGAGGGTAATACTCTGAAGACTGTCAAAAAGTATCATTCTCTACTGATTATACAGGTGAGCATTTAGATTACTAGATTCATTACGTAGTTGACAATGTATAATGTTTTCCTTGCGATTACCATAATTACAGATCTTGACATTTTTTATTCTGTCTATAGTAGGTTTCTTTAAGATATTCTTGAAACTTGAATAAGATTCAATACATTTTGTTTCTAATGGTAAATTGTTCCATAACTGTATAGTAGAAGGCAGAAAACTGTTGAAATATGACACTGTCCTTGCTTGAGGTATGACAAAATTAAAATTACCAATATTCCTAAGATTGTAACCATGATTTGGTGGCATAAAAGGTAGGACCATTTCTTGCAAATAGAGAGGGGCAATACCATACACAATTTTATAAAATAACAAGAGTTTTTGTCTTTCCCTTCTATTATTTAATGGTTCCCAACCTAATTCTAAATACAGAGCATTTCTGGATGAATTTTTCCTAAGTCCTGTTATTATTCGGGCTGCTTCTACTTGAATATTTTCTAAAAGATTTAAAAGTTCCTGTGAGCAATTATCCCACACAATGCTACCATATTCTAAAATGGGTCGAATAAAAGCAAAATAGACTTTTATCAATGCACTCCTATCTAGCAAATGTTTCAACATTCTTAAAAGACTTTAGCCGAGAACAAGCTTTTTCATAAATTATTTATATGAGATGACCATTTGGCATCATTTTGGAAAAGGAGTCCAAGATGACAGTGTGTTCTAGATTCATTAATAATACTACTATTAAACCCAAAATGGACTGGGGGGTGGTCATTCGAACTTCTTGAAAAATTTAAATTACAGGTTTTGGTTGGATTGAAATCCACAGCCCATGCTGAAGCCCATTTATTAATTTTATCTAAGTCAGACGTAAGTGATCTTGCTGCTGCATTAACATCATTATCTACAATTATAAACAGTGATGTATCATCTGCAAATAACCTTGTATTATTAACTAGATTACCAGTTATGTTATTGATATACAGGAGGAATAAGAAAGGACCTAGAACAGGACTCTGAGGAACACCTGCAGATATAGGTTTAAAATTTGAATAGAACCCATTTAAGGCCACTCTTTGAACTCTGTCATGTATGTTAATCTGGATTTACATCTTTTAGCACTTAAAGTTTTCACTGTCAAACATTATTGTCGTTTACTAGTACTGATTTTTATTTGAAAATTAAAATAAGTACACGACAATATATAGTCGTGTACTTATTTTAATTTTCAAATAAAAATCAGTAAACGACATTATTGTTGTAAAGACACAATGCATCAAATTCTTTGGTTCCTAATTACTTATTCTTAGGAGCTCTATTTGAATTTTGTCCTCCTCCCCCACCAGGGTTCCGTCCTTGACTTGACTCCCATCTACCAGGTCATTGCATCCCCGTTCATATGCTAGGAAAAAATATCATATCTAAGACATGTTATTTTGAGAGGGAATTTTTCCCACCCTGAATCAACATGTTCAACCAGGGACCTATATATATGTTAGTACATAGGTCCCTGGTTCAACATAATATGTTTTCTTTTTCAATATGTCTTCTCTTTTATTTTATTTCATTTTACCCCCCCCCCCCCTCTCGATTCATTCTATACATGTACCAAATGATGATCTACTTTACGTACTGCTTTTCAATTTTTAAATGTACCATTAATTTTATGCATGTATGTACTTAGACAAATGGAGAGAGTATTATAGGCTTTTATGCCTACTGTTCAATCCAGTTTATGTATAATGAATAAAGTATAATTTAAACTAAACCACCGTTCCTAATGCATAAACCTGAATCTGCTCCTCTGGTGAACCTCCTTGGCCCCAATTTACGCCGGGGGCAATAAAGGCAACATTGACAAAAATGAATTTGTAGATAAATTGTAGCGGAGCAGCAATCAATACAAGATGGTTTTGAAATCAGTGTGATGTTTATTACATGGATTATAACTTAAGTACCAGATTCTGCAAAACAATATAAAATACATTAACTAAATTTGATATCACACATAACAGCAGAATCTATTGTTATCATAAAATCAAATAATTACTACATATTAATTAGATTATAAAATAATATTGACACAGGTCAATGAGTTATATCTCTTGACAATGATATTTCTCTTTATATATTCACTTCATATAGTGGATAAATATCTACAATATACATGTACATATAGCTACATACCAAACTATGGGTATGAATCCATCTCTATTTCTAATACAGTGTATATATATGTCTTGCTATGGATTTAATATCTACAATTCATAAATAACATTTATACACTATATATTCTTTTGTGTCATAAAATACATTTCATTAATACAAAGTTTAAAATCAACTAGTTCATCAGCTTTGACAAACTAAAATAATTTAATAAATTCTCTCTTATGCCACTTTTCATTCATACAATTATTAATATGAAAGTATTAATGTGAAATAAGAATGTCAAAAAGTCAACTTACTGTCACCCGTATGAAATTTAGAGGCGTATTACGCCTGGACTTTTTGCAAATCCTGGCGTACAAGAGACGTATTCTTAAAAATACGGTTCATTTTCAGGCGTACACGTATTTTTGGCCAGAAATACATCTCCTTTTCTCCTGGCGTAAATTCTTAATCCAGGCGTATTTTTTTCTTAGTCTCTTTCGCATAGGGAAATAAAAACTTAGAAAATTTCAAAAGGCGTATTTTTGGAAATCCTGGTGGATTTTGTGACTTAGTCCTTATTATTAAGAGAGCTAGATAAAAATTTTACTTAGACAACTTCATTCTCCTTTATGTAACTATTGAGTTGCTTTTGTGATACATGTATTAAAATTAACCCCCAAAAAAGTATTTACTCCACATGTAAACATTGATTACATTACAATATTGCCTTTGTTGTATTCATTGTATTTATTAAAGCAATTAATTTTAGTAAATTATACTATTTAATCTTAGATTACTGTGCCATTGATTCCCAAATTAAAAAAAAATGTTTAATATTATTTCTCTTAACTAAGATGATTTTATTTCTAACAAACTTAGTATATTCTTTCATTAATGTTTTAGTGGTTTAATATAAAGTAGCATTTAATTAAATGAATATTTAAGTCCTTAGTTTTAACAAAGCACTATAGCTGATGCTAAAAATAATTTTTCAATCAGTAATTGCATGATCAATGTCTCTATAAAATAACAAAATATAGATGGTATATTCAGATAATATTACATTACCATCTACTTTCTCTTCCCTAGTCTAACCAGTTGGGATTAGGCTAATTACTTACAGATGTGTTGAGCATGTTTAGGAACGACTTATCTGTAATGTTGTAAACCTCTCTAAGAACGGCTTATCAGTTTATATCCGGTTTCTCTAGAGCAGTTCTATTATCCACCCTAATCTTTAAAATAAAAGTATAATTCATATAGAGAAAACATCTTGTGTAAACATAAATGAATTTTTGTTATTGTATTCTTTAACAATACAGAATTCTTTTTTCATCAAATTTACATAATGTACTGATTAGATCTCTCGGAAATGATAAAACCGTTTAGGTAACAAGGGGGTTATAAACAACAGCATTATTTACATCCAAGTATTTGCGCCAATTTTAAACCACCAGGAAGGTCATGCCAGGAACAAAGAGATTGGAGAAAGCGGCAACGAAGCACAGATGGTGAAGAAGAGGTGATTATTTTGAAATGCATTGCATAATATTAGATTTTTTTACCAAAAAAAATAAGACAGATGCAATTGCTTGATTTGCAGAGCCAGATGTTCATGATTGAAATGGGTCAGTATGACATTGAGTATGTTCTTATGTTTTTCTTTTTCCAGATCATAATCCATAGGATAAATCAGTTGGGCGATCAATTGAATGATGAAATAGTCCATAAATACTTGAATTTAAGTGAAGAAAAGATCTTGCGAGAGTCAAATGACCAGAATTGCAGCATTTTCCATAGATGCATGCCAATGAACTGCAGCTGTTGAGTGTAGCATTAGGAATGAAGTGTATTTTCAATGCCAGGAGTTATAAAACATGAAAAACATCTTTTTGTGAATATTTCTATGAAAATGTGATTGGAGAATATATAATAAGAAATGTGAATGACAAAACTGCTTGTGAATTGCATCTTTTGTGCCAAATAAGGAGTACAGAGAATGGCAGGATTAATCGGCATGATTCTCAATAAAGTGATTTCACTGTGATTATTGGAATGTTGCAACTGCTGACTAGACTAAACTAATATGTCAATCTTGTAGGTTAAAATACTGTGAAACAGGAAAAGTTAATGTAAATCTAACATGTGATGTGACTGTGATTTGAAACAGTAAATGTTCGATTCTGATTTTTAATCATTTCTCATTCACATTTAAGCATACTGAAAAGTATTAATAAAATAAAAATTGTGTATGATTGTAAGCTTAATTTGTCTGATCTTTTTTGTATGTGTTTATATGCACTTAGACTCCTAGTAATCTATGTACTAAAGTACATTGTACTTTTATATTTATGTTGGTTGTAGTCCCCATAGCTGTGATAATATTTAATTTGAAATGAATATTTAAGGCAGGCGTATTTTTTATACGGGCGTATTCATTTTACGGGTGTATTTATTTTACGGGCGTATTTTTTTTTTTACGGGTATGCTTGATATCTAGGTGTAATTCTATTGTTAAAATTTCCAGGCGTATTTTGAATTTCCAGGCGTACTCATTTACATATTTCGGCTAAAAATACGGTAGGATTACGCCTCTTGTACGCCTGTATTTCACTTTATACGCCTGCTTTTATGTATTTATTTTAATGGAGAATCCACCAGGATTTTAAGATTATAATACGCCTGGATATTTTTTGAAAATACGTGACTAAAATTTCGTACGGGCAGTGGTCTATAAAATACTCCAAATATCAAAAACACAACTTTACACACTGACTGCTCCTAGGCTAGTAATTATCTGGACACTCTGGACAAAGGGGGTTAAAGGTTTTGGCGGGAAATTATTAACCAATGGCTATTTTTACTTATTTATTTATTCAAGGTTAAGAGTTAAACTGTAATTTTAGAACTCTAGAGATTTCTAGACTTTAATTAGAGGTAGTTGTTATAAATTTATTTAAATGTTTAATATTTAAATAAAACATTTTTATTTTAAATTAAGTTTATTATTGAAAGTTATTTCATAACTTTCAATGGCATCTGAAAGAAAATTGTTGTTATAATTAAAATCAATTTAAAATCATGACTATTACAAAATTATCATAGAAAAATTGATAAACACTCTGTAATAACCTTCTCTGAAAAACGAAAATAAACAATATTCTTGAGTGGGTAGTACTTCGTAAAATTTGAATTTAGATACCTTGTGAATTTTTTTCATGTATATGTATGTAATTTTTATAATCAAAATACGTGCCTTTTGGAAAAGCCCTCAAAGTCCCACTAAAGTCTTCATAACTTATTATTGGCTGAAAACTTTAACAATTGTTTCTTCAAATTCATTTGTAATTTGTATCCTGGTTGTCTCATATAGGACTACTCATATACTTTACGAGAAATCGTTTAACAAAATAATTTGTTATAACAATACACACAAAATATTACACATGTGTAAAGAAGGAAAAATTAGGTTTTCTCCCCTTTTGACCCCTATGTTGACATTGAAGAAAGTGTTGATTTGAATGGACGGCGTTGAAATCATATTTAATTGTCCGGAACTTCGAATTTTTCTCGAAGGATCCAACATTCTGTATTTCTTCTACATAATCCCTGGGATGCAGCTATTCTTTTAACTGTCTAACAGAAACATCTATTCCAAGGAACTGACTCAAAAAAGGAGAAAAAACAACAACAACAACAAAACAAAACCAAAACAAAAACAAAAAAAAAACAAAAAAAACCCCAAAAAAACAAAAAAAAAAAAAAACCCTGCAATTAAACCAAAATTAAAGTGCTTTAATCTAAGTTGCTAATTCATCTGGCTTCCATAGATCTGTATTCACTTTCATATTTTGTCTTAAATAGTAATTTTTTAAAACAAATTAATAATTTGTTATATCAAATTAGTAATTTGTTATATCAAATTAGTAATTTGTTATATCAAATTATTAATCTGTTATAACAAATTACTAATCTGTTATAACAAATTACTAATCTGTTATAACAAATTGATAATTTGTTATAACAAATTAGTAATTTGTTAAAACAAATTAATAAAAGATACTGCTGCGGCCCTATTACGCTTCCGTAGATTTTAACTTCTTTGCTTATTATGCATGCTAAATGATAACATCGCCTACTCTTGTAACAAGCAGCTATTTCTGATTTTTTCCCGGAAATTTAGGTATAGATCTATAATTAGCACATTTGAACAGAGCAATTTTTTCTTCATTTTTAAAAAATAAACAGAAACTGAAGACATAATGATATCAAATTTTATTTTTCTGTATTATAAATTTCTTCAGTTAACATATTTTTTACCTGCTGATTTAAATTGGTGCTTTCAGTTACATCAGAGACATAAGGGAACAATCCTTTGATGTGTGTGTGTGTGTGTGGGGGGGGGGGGGGGGAGGGGGGGCTATGTTGAAAAAAAAAAAAACCAATCTGTTGACTTGTGGTACCAAAATAAATGTTTTATTCTGATCCAACGACTTGCAAGTCTGAAGCTGAATTTGAAAAAGAAATAAATTAGCCTCTAACTTTATTTGTCAGGAGAGAAAAATAATTTATATTCATTTATTCCCTTCTGCTGTACTTCATTTTGGGCAATCTCTACCCAGATTAATCGTTCCAGCTTTGCTCCACTAATAGTAGCATAGCGTAATACGCCCTCTGGTGAGAGATTGTCATTTCGGCAGATGCTGCTATTAGATAAGGCAATCAAGGTTCAAGTGGACAATATAACATTTTCAAGACACTAAAACTGCCACCAATTTTTGATAATTATGTCCCACAGATCATTGACTACTCAAAATGCACCTCAATTTGAATGGGGTATTTACTTGAAATAGGTAACATATACCATGTCAACCATTACTGGTATTCTCATTTTTTTTTTTAATTTGTGAAAAACATAAAAACCAGTAAGACATTCATGTTCACAGGTAATAAAACATCTGAATATCAAAGTATACTTATAAGTATACTTCAATGATTTGAAAGCAATTCCTAGGTTTAAATGATCAAAAAACCTTGTGTCAATTTTCATTTGCCACTTTACAGAGTGGTAGGTTAAACGTTTTGATTGGTATACAGGTGTAACACATCGTATAAGGAGAAATGCACAGAGAGACCATGTATTATTTAGCATGCACAATAAACATGATAAAAGAAATTTATTTAATTAATGAATATAAACATCTGTGTAGTTTTTTATCATCTTATTAATCTTTTGGGCCACCTTCTGAACGTCCTCCAGATTATCTCCCCTGATATGGATTTTCCGATGTCGCTGCGGGTTTCCCGTCATTTTTGCCTCCTCCCTCCTCTGTTGATCCCCTTTGAAGTGAAGTCTAATATTCTTTAGAGAGGAATCACTCGTTCTCCAATCATTCAGTAGATGGAGTCCTACAGTATTCATAAGCTTTGTGAATTTCCTATACTCATCTTCTGGAGGGTAGAACACTGTGTCGTGAGCCTGATATTTAAACCGCTCCACTTCCCTTTCTAACATCCTTAGGATCAGTGACTTAACTTCCTCCACGGTCTCTGAAGTTTCAGCTCTAATGTCGTAGTACGCGTAGGCTTCTTCATCCTTAGTTTTATGTACATTCCAACACAGGGTCACAATTGGCTGACTCTCTCCATACTTCTCAGTTAATACTACTTTTAAGAGCTCTGCAAAGCAGTAAACATCAAAGTCTGCAGGTAAATTATCTGGAATCATCAACTTTCCTACTGAACAATTCCTTAAATGATTCACAGTCTGGTCAAATAGTTTTTTGGTAAGATCAACCGCTTCCCACATTTTTTCATATGAATCTGCATGGACCATCACATGGGGCTGCTTTACACCGCGGGGGGAATATGTAATCCTTGTACCAGTTGCTGCCCCAATTGCCTTAATGTTGTCATGACCTCTCTGTGTTAAGGCTCGGTTTAGAATCAATGCTGGTATTTCTCTGGTGAAGGGTAAGTGCAGATTTTTATTATAGGCATGTTTCTGGATACCAATTTCTACTGTTTTCTCTAACCACCTCCTCAGAGCTTTCACTGCCTCTCTAGCTTTCTGTTTATCTATTGAATGCACGGACACACTTAAAGTGTTCTCTGATTGGTTCAGTCGGAATCCACAGCCCGTCTGCAAAGTCAGAGTTGGTATACCCTTCATTAAGTACACAACCAAGTGTTCATTGTCTGAGGGTATATTAGTTTTCACAGATAAACATTCCTGATTGATACTGTTTTTAAAGTGCACTGGTAGCTTTCGATCTACATCTTTTAAATGAAGTCCCGTTAGTTTTCCTGGTGAAGAGTGAAAATGCACCTTTGGATTGCCCATTGAACTTCTTAACTCAAATCTGCATTAAAAAGAAAAATGTATGTTCACTATTTGCCATTAAACATTATGAAAAATACCTGTTACAGTCAAATTGACCTTGACCTTTGACCTACTTTGCAAAAATACTTTGGTTGATTTACTTTGTGTATTTTTGATTTTGATAGGCAGAATTTTGATAATTAGCATTAATATCACATGTTTATGAGCTCATGACACTGTTCTATGAAACTGTATACAATACAGTTATCATACAAACTGAAATCATAATATGAAAATATATGGGGATTGGGTATACCAAAAGGATCATTGTAGACTGATAATTGCATCTCTTTTGGAGGATAGTTGGATTGAACAGGTTTACACCAAACATATCAAACATGATATTATAAAATGAAAAATAATTATTTCTAATATGTTATTTCATTATTCACTTTAGCTTTGAGGGTTGGGGAATCATGTTTCTATTTGATTGTCAGATTTTATACATGATAAATGCTATTCTATCAGTCTTACTATTTGTGGATTTTTTTCTTTGCTATAATGCTAGTAAATAAATAGCTGACCACCCTAAGATTTATTATAATCTTTAATGATGCTAAAAAGCAGGCAACACACGTATTCCTTGGAACACTCTAATGAAGTTCATATGGCTTGATTCTATCTGATTAGCTAGTGGATATACCCTTTTTAAGTTCATATGGCTTGATTCTATCTGATTAGCTAGTGGATATACCCGTTTTTAAGTTCATATGGCTTGATTCTATCTGATTAGCTAGTGGATATACCCGTTTTCAAGCTCATATGACTTGATTCTATCTGACACAGGATATAGCTTGAATATTTATACTTTTGCTTAAACATGTGTTAAAAGTGTTCAAAAGCAGCAATGTTTAAACAATGTTTGATTTGAATTGCTTTTCTAATACAGCTGAACCTCGGTATCTCAAACACGGAAATCTCGAATACCACAGACATGTAGAAGTGATTTAGAATTCCCAAGCACTTTTTCTTTAAGCACCTTACCCTCAACATCTTGAACCCCCAGATATTTCAAAGTTTTTTTCTTGGTCCCATCGAGTTTGAGATAATAAGATTTGACTGTTACAGTAGTCCATATTATAATGAGTAATCACATACTTGCGACTTCTTGTCTTATAAAAAAAAAATATTTGTCAAAAACTGAATTGAAATACTTAATCAAGCTATTTTTGAATATCTTGTTAAAATCAAGATATTATGCTGACCCTGTTCATTCAAGGAACAAATCAACTACTTAAGAACTTTATATACAGCCCCAAAACATTTAAAATTGTGATTTCAAGTACTTTGAAGGAGACGCATCTTGATAATTTTTTTTCTCTTTTTTTCATGCATTGCTTTCAGAGCCGTTCATAAAAATCACACGCTGAAAAAATTAGAAAAGTGGTAAAATAAAAAAGCCTACAGTTATAGCAAATTCAAGAGATTATACCAGACCTTACAGAAGTATTGTCTCGTATCCTGTTTTCGACCGGTTTGTATTTTGGACCTATTTTTTCAAATCAGCTTCCTGTGCAGAATCGATACCACACGGTACAACATCATTTTCGGCTGTTATACTTGGAAAAATACCTTTCAAGTACAACTGTAGTGAATATACCCAAAATAATTAATTCATCAGATTTTTTCCTCATGGTTTTAGTCCGATGTCAGAAATTCTTATCTTTTTACTAATGCATATTTTACCTGTTGATTAATCAAAGTCGTAATTGCTTAATTACAAAGTTTTTTGATCATATTTTTCCGAAAGAAATTTAAGATCTCCGTCACAAAGACGCATTGATATTAAAATGAATGGGTGGATCAAACATTTTTTTTTTCTTCCTTACATCATGTACATATGGGCATTTTCTTACAAAATTTCATTGAAGAATGCAATGTAACTTCATTGATTTTTTTTGGAAAATGCACAGCTACTGACGGGAGGGTAAAACCAACAAATAAAATTGTCTGCAACCAAAATATTCAACTTGTTCAATGTTTTTATGAAAGACAAACGATCGTATTTTTATTGTTTGGAATATCCTAGAGATATTTACAGCCAATACTGACTGGGGGTCCATAATTTATTTAGGTCGAAAACACAAGACGCTAATATTTTGTAAAGAAAACTGCTCCCTCCTCATATTATGGAATATAAAAAATTATATTATTTTATTAACAGACACATATATAGGCCTACTATTCTTAATATAAGCCCTTATTTTTTCAGATTTTTTAAAGTTTGCAATAAATCAATTTAATGACATCTTAATAGGTCGAAAATACAGTACGCTAGAATATAATTTATAAGAAGAACCAGATGCGTTATCTTTAAACTACAGTAGGTGCAGGTGCTAGCTTCAGAGGACTTTCTCTTTAAACTTTATAAAGAGGAAATTCGAGCTAATTTGGTCACATGTTGTGTGTAAACATTCCCATAAAATTATATTCTAATATTCTTACCGGTCTTCAAGGACTGACCTGCGGAAGGCACTTTGTATCAGCAAACATGATCTGTAGAATATACGGGTCATATCTTCTCCTCTAGCCTAGTTGTCATCTCCCTCGGGAGATGACACATTAAGTTCGTTTTCCGGAAGTGAAGTCCTAGTGTAAGCTGCCATCGATAAGCTGGTGGTCTGGCAAATGACCTGACGATGACACGATTTCTAAATATAGAGATGTAAACAAAATTGAGCGTTCTGCCTTATTATTACAAAATGGTCCATCTTAAAGTAAAACTACACAGGGTTCATTAGGATAATAGAGGTTGGATTGCTGGGGTGGTGGTCTTCAAAATACACATAAACATTGTATCTAGGTTATTGCGTAAAAAGTTTTCCTATTTCCCTTGGACCATCAAAGAGTGGAATGATAGTCTCGGCGAATACACCTGACACCTTTAGGTCTCAGGTGATCATCTTCTAACCATAAGTAAGAAATATTATTAATATTAACCTTTTAAAGTTTTAATTTTTGGTCATATCATGCGCACCAAATTTGCCATAATAATCAGCTTGTTGATTGTGGACAATACTTGGCAGAAGCAGAAACGATGGTCAGCGCGCGGGGATCAAAATACACAAAACATGGCATATTGAATGTATAAGCCAAGGCGTGGATCCAAGATTTACTGACGAAAGAAAACAGTGAAAACATTCACGTTAAATGCATATATACAATGGCAAAAACGTAACTTTCATATGTATTACTGCCGTATATATGTAAAATAAAACAGAACTTATTCAAAAAAAAAATAAGAAAAGAAATATTACCTAAAAGCACAATTTAAGCAGAAACATAAATTAATGTCTCTGATTTAAGTAGCTCAGTGCTGCAGGCATTGGAATAAAAATAGTAAAGAATCATTATGAGTATTTTCTCGGATGTCTTCACTATTCTTTTTTTTCTTTAAAATTACTCCTGCGGAAAAGTTTTAGGAAAAACACAATTTTCTTGACCTGGCTCAGGTTTTTTAAGGATTAATAAATAAAGCAACTTATCAATTTAATTTTTTATGCAATTCTAATTTGCATTTTTTTGTTAATGGAAAAAAGTAAAAAAAAAAAAAAATCACTCCTCGTATTCTTGAAATAAAGCCAAAATTATAAAATGTGTGTCTCGTGAAACAGCGTATAAAATCGATGTTGGTAGATTGAGGTTCTTTTCAGTGTGCCAATACTTAATTTTAAATGGTAACTTTTCAATTTTATAACCTTTCTATGCATGCTATTTTCCCACAAGCGTATACGTGTACATGTACTTATATTATATAAACATAATATAGCGTTAACACATGAATCTGCATATTGGCAGCAGAAGGATATGATGCAGGAGTGTCTCAATGTTTTCCTTGATATTCCCAGTGGCTCGATAGCCAAATCACTTCGGAGGATACGTTTAAAATAAGGAAAATCTTTGGAAATTATAATTGAGGTTCGGATTAATTTAAGTTAGCGCTTTAAAACTGCTTTGCTGTTGTAGTAGGCGACTACAAACTAAAGTCAAAAGAAACGCTAAGGTTTTATCCATCTTCATACGGAACAATTGTTTTATATCTAATTTTTACGAATATTTCTCAGTGGTTAGATTTTTTTTTTACAGACATTGTACAAAAAATATTCAAAATGAATAAAGCATATTTACAACAAGTAAAATAATATAGGCATGTAGCAACAGGAGGGTCGTCCCCCTTCCATGTTTTTCCCAAACATTAAAAATATTCATTCAAAGGCGCGTCCTTGCCCCATCTTCCATCTTTTGTTGCAGTATGGTACGTCAAATCATCCCATGGGAATGTACTATAATATAAAATATGTTTGTTGGAAAAGTTTTAATCCTCCTTTCAAGAAATGAAAATGTGGAGTTTGGACAACCCCTTTTCCCCCTTGTCAAAGATTGTTCAGATAAGTCGTCGATTCCCCCCCCCCTTTTTTTTTCAAAAGCGATACTACTGCATGTAATAGCTGAAAAAATAATGTAACATTCCACTGTTTATTCTGTGACATTCATGAAGCCAAAGAGATGACATTTATGGCTTTCTGGAAAGCCAAACTTGTTTATTGATAAATATCATAATTGAAAGCTAGCGCTAGTCCATTCGTAACTACTCGGCCATTTTCCAGGGTATCATTCACGGAAATGGCCGAGTAGTTACGATTGTCTTCGAGATATTGGGAACCAGTTTATCACGTTGACTCTCAAGGGGGCGGATCCAGAATACAAGGTTTTGTTTTTTTTAAAATATAGAATAGCATTTATTACCAAACCAGGGCCCAAATGGACATAGACATATAACATGTATAAATACAGATATAATTACAGGCAATAACAGAAAAAGAAAAGAAGAGAATAGCCCTACTTATTTCAAATTTAGAGCCCAAAAGCAGGGACCTACACTAACCATAGGGGCTCGGTTTCAGGATGGTGTATTTTATGAATTGTGTTTTTCGAAGTTTGTCTAAATATACTGATTATAACAAAAAAAAAAAAAAAAAAAAAAAAATCGGAAATCCCCGAAATTCGTAGTTTTAAAAATTGAATTTCAATGTTCATACTCTCTTTTTTATGTACAAGAAATACAATTTTTATAACTACGAATTTCAGCGATTTTCGATTTTTATTTTAAATAATCTGACAATATCATAATGCAGGGGGAACCTTCCCAATTCAGACAATACTGCAAAACTTGTACTTTTCCTGTGAACACCATATATTTACAGAATTTAAGGTGGATTCTTTCACAAGGTAGACTTCTCAAACAGTCTTCAACTTCTAACTTTTTGCATTTTAGGAATCTTGTAGTATATTTAAGGAATCAGTGTCTAGTTAGTAAAGTATGCCAGGGCATCAACGATAGTTGGAAACGTGGGATAATTTGTATAACGTGCGAAGCCCGTTATGCATAAATTATCCCACGTTTCCAACTATCGTTGATGTCCCTGGCATACTAACTAGACACTGATTCCTTATATTTCCATTTCATTGTGAAATAAAATTGTAAATTTAGATTTTAAAAATGTAGACTAATACGAGGCCTCACATGTCAATTTCAATAGTCCCCGCCCACTGACGTCAAACACAAAGACAGCCGCACGAGAATTACATGTATATTAGGCCTTCTTAGCTCCGGACCTTTCGCTTGGCGAAATTTGCATTCCGTTAGAAATCAACTCCCCTAACTTTCAAAGAGTTATTACAGAGAAAACAAATAGAAATGGAAATATATGGAAATATACATTACACCCCATACGTTTCAGATTCCAGATTCTTTTTTTTTAACGTTACCTGACATACAATGTAATGTAACATGGGATTTTCGACTATTTTGGAACGAAGAGATGCATAACGAAAAAGTGGATTCGTTGACGACGTAGACTTAAGATGCAGTAGTAGTTCCCGAAACGAAGAGTGATGTAGACCTTTCATAATAAAAAAAAAAATCTTGAAAACAATCAAGAAATAATCTTGATACATAATTCTGTAAAATGTCAAACAAATCAAATATATTAAAATTATAAAGAATATTTGATTTGATTATAGTGATAGAATGACTGGTTCTGAAGTTATCAAAGAGAAATATCTCGTAATATAGTGTTTCTCGTAAATTTATAGCCCGAATCAGCTAGAGCATAAGCTTCCTGGTAAATCTATGTAGAAGTAGTTTCGAATATTTATTTCATAAAATTGGTTTCCTAAACCAATGCGCCAAGTAAATTTATTTATAGTAACAAGTACTTTCCATTTTAACCTGGTAGTAGGCGAAATACCGGGAAAGGGCGCTATACCTCTTTGATGCATCCTCACAACGTCAGGGGTCCTGAGTCAACACGTTGCCGTGGACGGCAACGTGTTGACTCAGGACCCCTGACGTGTGGACGGCAACGTGTTGACTCAGGACCCCTGACGTTGTGAGGATGCTTTGATGTTGCATCTACAATTTCCTTATGTATAATCTTGAAATCTAATTCATTAAATAGTATTTAATAAATACTGCATTTTTTTCCAAGTCAGCCAAAATTAAATCTATAGGTCTTGCATCCTAGATTCAAAAGTTATCACTATCCAGGCCAGACCCTAGAAATTTCTTGACAAAAAAAAACAACACAAAAACAAAAACTGAAGTCCATACATTTAATAACTCTGCAAATTTCGGCGCGGGGGGGGGGGGGGGTTCCGGATCTCCCCGAACCCCTCTAGATCCGCGCATGCTAGCAGAATGAAGATTAAGAAAATGATTAACCCATGTTTCAGGATGTATTATAATAATTGCTGCAGAATTGTCTTTCTTATCATCCTTCCAATCATCGATTAACTTCTTTTTTTTTTTTTTTTTTTGATGTGCATCAAATTGATTTAGAATGTATAGTTTTGAAATTTTTACGCTTAAATTTTCTTAATTTATTGTACTTCCAAAGAAGTCTATAGTAATGAGTATTAACTACTAGATCCTTAGGAAATATACTGTAATGAAATATGGAGATAATGAACAGTAATCAAGCTCAAAAGTCCATTGAAACAAAACAAATCGGAAGCAGAGCAAACACGGACCTCTTAAAAAACATCAGAGGTAGGATCAGGTGCCATGGAGGAGTAAGCATCCCCTGTCGACCGGTCAAACCCGCCTTGTGCTCGTCATGATCGGGCAAACGGAAAAATCCGTAGCAATTCCGTGTTTAAATAATGGCCTAACAATTAGTATGAAAAAGTCAGTCAGCATTCAGCTTAATTAATGATAGATTGTACTTGCTGACAAGGTCATTGTATCGACCATAGAACTTTCAAAATGACTTTAAACGAGACTGTTGATATCCTTGTTTCATCAACTTGTTTGTCAATACTTAGCCCCGTTTTAGAAATTGTTCGTACATGGAGCATGCTTTTAATTGCGTATCGAATCAACTTGGAGATATAAACTCCATATGCAGGTGAAAAGGGTATACATTGTATTGCTACATAAGTAAGGAAAGTTGACGATAGAAAAGTTAAAGTCATTACGTTTATCATTTATAGTTTTGTTGTTAGGTTACCATGAAATAAAAGATACCACAGAGTCTGACACATCTGTTTCATATTTGGATATTTCATTAGAAAAACCGTTACATTGAATGCCGTGCAAGTGCAACGTTATAAGCGAAAAATCAAAATTCATGCTCACATTGAAGAGTTTAATGTAAGTAGCTGTTTGAATGGCTTTTCCATTAATTGTAACTCACCTGAAGGATAATTCAGGATTTTGAAATATACATTGCATTTACAGACAAGGCAGTGAGTTAAAAAAATGTAACATTTATATAAGCATTGAATTATCATTTCTGGAAAGATGTAGTCTCAAAACTGTTACTGTAAAATTGTGCAAACAATTTTTCTTAACGCGCTAACACGTATTATTTAATTTGTTTAATTGCACACACCGTTGCAGTCATGAGACTACAACTTTTAAAAAATAATAATGCAATACATAAAGAATTAAAGATCAGTACCAGGTGACACCTAAATTATGACAGGAAATGAACTTAAGTATCTTGTGTGGATAATTTTTTTCATTGTTATTGAGGCCCCATGAGAAAATATAAGTGTAGAATGGTATAACAACATTGCTCACCTGTCTATCTGTCCATCTACCTTTTCGTGTACATGTACACATTCATCTTTCATTCTGTCTAGCTGTAGGCAAATTTGGCAATGGATGGTTTTGTTGCCTTTTATTCTTATGGTTCAGGTATAAGTGTTGCTAATAGTATTTCGTCTTTAGGTTCCACGCTCTGCGAGTCGATTGGACAGTGGAGATGTTTTTATTCTGGATCTGGGTTTGACTATTTACCAGTGGAATGGTAAAGGCAGTAATAAGGATGAGAGGATGAAGGTATGTTACTAATTTTTAAGGGACACAGTACTATTAGAATACTCATGTGGCGGTCAGGCTTGTTTGAACAACGGTTGCCAGATAGCTCAGTTGGAAGACCACCTGACTGGAGATTCAGGGGGCCCGGGTTCAAATCCCGGTCTGGTCCATCACATTTTTATTTTCTCCCGTTACAATTGGTGCCGTGCCATGCCCTGGAAGTGACAGGTGAAAGATCTGCCAGGGAAGAGCCTGGGTTGGTGTCTTCGTGGACCGAAGGCCTTTGAGGAGGGAGGAATGTGGCGGTCAGACGGATTTGAACGCTGGTGGCCAGATAGCTCAGTTGTTAAAGCACATGACTGGAGATTCAGTGGGCCCTGGTTCGAATCCCGGTCTGGTCCGTCGCATTTTTCTCCTCTCCAGTTACACTCAAATATAGGGGTACTGTTAGGTTTACATGGTTAAAATTTATTTAATTTATTTTGATTGAGTTAATCTTTTTAGCTCTTCTGAGCCAAAGCCTCAAAGAACTAATGCTATGGCCATTTGTGTGAATTGCGATGTGCGTCAACTTTTTAGCTCACCTGAGCTGAAAGCTCAAGTGAGCTTTTCTGATCACCCGTTGTCCGTCGTCTGTCCGTCTGAAACTTTCACATTTTCAACTTCTTCTCAAGAACCACTGGGCCAATTTTATCCAAACTTGGTACAAAGCATCCTTGGGTAAAGGGGAGTTTAAATTGTTGAAATGAAGGGCCAAGCCCCCTTCAAAGGGGAGATAATCTAGAAAGGACAAAAATTGGGTGGGGTCATTAAAAAAATTTTGTTCTCAAGAACCACTGGGCCAGAAAAGCTGAAACTGATGTGGAAGCATTCTGGGGTAGTGTTGATTTTAAATTGTTCAAATCATGACCCCCAGGGGTAGGGCGGGGCCACAATAGGGAATCCAAGTTTTACAATGAAATATGTAGTAAAAATCTTTAAAAATCTTCTTCTCAAGAACCACTGGGCCAGAAAAGCTGAAACTGATGTGGAAGCATTCTGGGGTAGTGTAGATTCTAAATTGTTCAAATCATGACCCCCGGGGGTAGGGCGGGGCCACAATAAGATATACAAGGGGGGAAATCAGGAGAAAAACAGCAAGGCCAAAGTTTCTCAGGTGAGCGTTGTGGCCCATGGGCCTCTTGTTGTAATATGGACCAATTAACCATATCTGAAGAACCCCTTGGCCATTTTTTGGTCAAATTTGTTACAGAGTATCCTTCACCCAAGGGCTCTCATTGATAATTAAAATAAGGATGTGACCCTTAAATAAAGGGAGATAATTTGATTTTCAAAAAAGGGGAGATAATCAAAAGTAATGGTTGCTAAAAAATCTTCTTTTCTAGAACCGCTGGGCAGATTATCACCAAACTTAAGCATAAGGATGAGGATAGGCTATTAATTCAAATATTGTTCAAATCTTCACCCTGGGACAAAGGATGTGGTCTCAAGGTCACTTCAAAGTTGCCTGAAATTTTATTTTATTAAATCTTTCATATTTTTCTCACTATAAAGAATATATCTATATACTGTATTTCATATGTATGTATTTCAAATAAAGAGGATAAGAATCAACAAACTTTGACAGTTGATGCATCTTGGGTTCTCAGAATATGTGTTTGCCAAGAAGTAGGTCATGGTGACCTACTTTTTGAATTTATGACTACTTCTAAATAGTTCTGAGAATAAGGGGCTCAAATCATCAAACTTTGCCAGTTGATGCATATTGGGTCTTTGTTGTGTGTTAACCAAAAAGTAGTTCACTTTGACCTAATTTTGGAATATATAGGATAATAAGAGGCTTAGAATCATCAAATTTTGTCAATTGATGCATCTCAAGTCAACAGACTGTGTCAACAAAAAAGTAGGTCGCAGTTTCCTTCTTTTGGAATTTCATTATTGTATCTCAATATTTAGGGTACTAAGAAACTAGAAATCATCAAACTTTATTAGTTGACTAACTTGGGTCCTTGTATTGTTTCAACCAAAAAGTAGGTCACTGTGATCTACTTTTGGTATTTCATGGCTATATCTGAATATATCAGATAATAAGAGGTTTAGAATCATTAAACTTTGTCAGTCGATGCATCTTTGGTTCTCAGAGTATGGTAACTAAAAAGTAACTAAAAAATACTTTTGGAACTTCAAGGTTTTATCCAAAGATTTAGGAAATCTTCTTAAGATGCTGCTGGAAAATTTCTTAAGGAGCAACATGTATCCGTTGAATGTCAGTTACAGAGTCTTTGCTATTTTTTCCTCCAGGCACGGGGGGGGGGGGAGATAAGTAATTATTTAAGAAAAAATGTTTGAACAAATAAATATGTTTTTATAAATAATAAGTCAAGAAGGTGGCTAAAGCTTGTCAGACTTGAATGCTATTTAGTTTGGGTTTTTTTATGAATGAGGCAGCATAACATGTTTTTGTTTTTCATACTTCAAGGATTTAAAACTCTACTAAATAACACTGATCACATGTACATAACTAAAACAATTTCTTTGAACTGTAAACAATTGACTGTCATGTTCACACAACATCACCAGGCAATGCAATATTTGATTGCCCTGAAAGAGGAGCGCCGAGGACGGGCCAAGTCTGAGGTTCTTGAGGAAGAGGGGTTGTCAAAAAGAGTAAGTAAATGTAGATATTAAACTTATTTCTCTTCTATAAGTAACTCTTGAGTACATGTCATTGTGTAGGCCATGCAGTACATCCTTAAACTGAAAGACGAGCGAAACGGGAAAGCTCGTTCAGAAGTTCTTGATGATGGCTTATTATCAAAGGACGTGAGTATAGAGAGATAACCGGGGATTTGTATCGCTAGTTCACACCCGGGACGCTTGTGTAGTGGCTCAGCACTTATTAATAAACATACTAACAAGTGTTTATTTCATTAATCTATACTACTATATTAAAATAATAGACTCGAATTTTTGGCCTTTAATACCGATAAATTGGAAGAGTATCGTCTTTTGTTTTATATATTTTAAACATCATTGGTACTTGAAGATTGCCAATTTGTTTTTATTTTTTCTCAATTAAGCTTCGCTAATTAATAATCAACGAAAATTCCTCAAAAAATTCCGGAAATCATCTGGATTTTTTGGATTTTACAATCTTACGCGTGCGCATTACATTCACGTTAAATCACGGTGTTCAAATCAATCTCGCTTGCAGAGTTGTCGTTCGTTTCTCTAGCTCTCATACACGAATGTATGAGCCGATGGTCGAGAGTGTGTTCAAATCAGAGAAGACAAAAGTAAATACTAAGTAGATATATATGTGTTATTGTAATAAGAAATCATTAATATATATGAACAGAATATATAGCAAATTTCAAATGAAAATTTACACGTATTTGTCATAGGCATCGGAACCGGGGGGGGGGGGGCTTATCCCCCCACTTTTTTTTGCAAAGATAGACATAATATAGGCATTGAAAATTGGGGCTTACCTTTTTTGTTGGTTTAGCACCCCCCCCCCCCCCCACTTTCAATTTTCTTCTGACGCCTATGTTTGTATTATCGTTTCTGAGACACATTTATTATATGTTATTTATATCTCTGGCCATCTCAACGGAGGCAAAAAGCTCATGATCGTAGGAGCAATATTAATGTAACTACCCGATTTTATTTTATCCCTCCTTTCTTTTATGCTTTTTTGGGGGGAACTGAAGGGGGGGGGTGGTGTTACAACTCCAGTTAGAATCACATCTTAGTGAAATAGGCATTCTTTTTCCGCCAAAAATTACAATAACTACTATATCAAAATTATAGACTCGAATTTTTGGCCTTTAATACCGATAAATCGGAAGAATACTGTCTTTTGTTTTATATATTTTAAACATCATTGGTACTTGAAGATTACCAATTTGTTTTTATTTCTTCTCAATTAAGCTTCTATTTTTATTACTTTTTCTATGTACTAATTCAAGGATATTACATTAATTTTTATCAAAACAGACAGTCTTTTACAGCTTATATACCTGTCTATTACTTGTGTATATATAAAGTATATGTATTAGCAGTGCTTAACTCTTTTATTGTTGAGGTCATATTTTGAACAAGTTGAGACCTGCAGTGTTAAAATTGATACAAAAATTTTTACACCTTTACTGTAATATCTGATTGTGTAAAAATACCAGCTTAGCACATTTCTTCATTTTCATTACTTTGCTTGATATGTATCAGCAGTGTGCTCAACTCTTTGCTGTTGTCATATTTTCAATAAATATCCATTATTTTTTTCATTAAATTTGTTTGGAAAGGTGAAATTTATGTAAGCTCCGGCGTGATTCGAACTCATGATTTGATTTATAGCTAACGGGGGGTCAAACCCATCCTGCGCTACGCCGTTTTGCAACAATTTTGAAAAAACAAAAACAAAAACAAAAAAAAAAAAACAAACAAAAAACAAAACAAAACAAACACCCCCACCCCCCCCCCCCCAGAATTATATTCACATTCATTGTTTATTTCAAAAGTACCTTACAATAGGAATGTGTCGATGTATCTATTTTGTAAATGTCCGATATGCACATGGATGCATTCATAACAATGTCAACCCGTGCACGCACGGGTCAAAGTCTAGTTTTTATTTATAATGTTACAATTTACGCTTGTTTATAGGGATGTCAATGAATAGTCGACTATTCGACTATCCTCGAATGGACCGACGATCGAATACTGAAACGACATTTGAATATTATTATAATTAAATAAATGCAAAAAAGAATGATAACGAGATGGAATTCTCATCACAAATTTGAGCAACTGTCTTTCCTCAGAGACAGTCGATAATTTTCCTCAACAAAAATGGTTGATTTTCCATGCACGTATTGAAAGTACAGTACCGGTAAATGTAAGTGTTTCAATACTGCGAGAATTATTTAAGAAATAAAGTCCGCGTTATCGTGAATGTCGCAGGATAACCTCTTCGGTCTCGAATCGAAATGTTGTCTGAAATATAAAAGCCGAGGCGTTAGCCGAGGCTTTTATATTTCAGACAACATTTCGAGTCCGAAGAGGTTATCCTGCATCATTCACGACAACAAGGATTTTATTTCTATTCTACTAACGGCTCTAAAATACAGTTGATCGTTTTCTCTATAGAGAAACGAATTAGATCACCATGTCGCAATTTCGCTGTTCCTTTTAACACCAGAGGGTCAATCGATTGCAAAAAATGCAGACGATTTCAGCTTTCGTTGGATTAAAAATATCCTTTAATTATTATATATAAATTTGCTTGTAACATATATTGATTAATTTTTATGAATGAAAAATAACAAAGCCAGTTGTCTATTTCATTGATTTATCAGTAAAATCGCGGGAGTGTAAATGTTGTGGGGAGGTCCGTAGAACAGCCCCACTTGGCTATAAAAACGGATATTTATCAGCTGTTTCAGGAAATACACACGTTTAGACTGGGGAAGACGACACATCGATGTGGTCTAATTAAGTATTAGATTATACAGTGAAATATTTATTTCAACTGTACAGATTTGACATGTGTTTCTGATCTGATAATTTTTTGATGACCTTCGTGATTTATTGGAGAATAATGTCCGCGGCATTTCTTTGATCTCGGCAATAATCGTAGTAGAATTGTCAGTAACAGCCTGTGTTGTTTTTGTAATAAATTACCCACCAATATACTGGGCTTTGTTTGTAAAATTATTAATTGGACTTGATCTTATACCATGTACCTTTTGTTATTTTAGGATTGCTCAAATTCAAGGAACAAACCATAGCTATGTCATGTTTTGACTCTTCGATAATCATTTGAACGCTTACATTTTTAACTGTTTAAGGACATTTTGATAGTCAGAGCAATCAACAAATGAATAAGCAGTATCTTACTAATGGTCCAATATTGCAACGTTTGTCATGCCATACTAACTGTTAAACTATTTATTTCAGAGGCACCTGACCTGTGGATAGTGTGAGATTACCCCCCCCCCCCCCTTCAAAAAAAAAAAAAAAATTTCATAATAAGCTTTAAAAAATATCGGTTTTTTTAATGCTTACTAAAATAAAAACTGACTGCATGTATAGATCGATTTACAAATTCATTTGATGAGGAAATCATACATTTTGGAGAAATAGGTTTCTAAATTTATTTCATATAATCATGCGATCCACGCGTTACGTTGCATTAATTTTCATGTTACTTTATAAATAGGTCATGAATCAGTGCAGTTTGAAATAAAATTTCATTTTCAGAAAATGTTCCGAATATTCGACTATCGTTCGAATAATGCAATCGATTAATCAACTAAGGAAAATAAATATTTTGACATCCCTACTTGTTTATTATCCATACTAATGAGTGTATTTGTATGCAATTTATTATTTATTTACATAGTTTATTTATTACTCTATTCATACCACTATATGATTATATCCCCAATGCAGGTACAACTATTAAGTGTATGTGGTAGCTTTTTTCATAAAGGGAATTTTTAAATTGTTATGAGGCCATGATAAGATCAAAAACTTGTTTTGAAATTCCAAATATGACAGGATATAGGAAAAATCTTCATATCAAGGATTACATATCTCAAAATGACTATAATTGAGCATACATGCCCATCAAGGTTGATTCAAGCTTGTTCAAAATTTGACCATTTGGAAAGAAATGGTAAATAACTCAGTTTGTTTTTCAAATGGACGAAAATAAGACAGATATACAGTCATACACAAAGAAGGCCCAATTCTTTTCAGGCTAGAATTTAAAATTACTCTTTTACTTTTTGGGACAAACCTCATACTTTACATGTGTATACATTTTATGGCCTTTACCTTTAAAACAGAAGAGGATATTGAAAATAAATAACAAACATGGGCTTAGTAAATTCCTGGCCTTGTGAGACTGAAGTGATTATTAAACGTTGCAAGTCTATTCCTTAATATTTAAATTATTTAAGTATGGAGATATTGCATTTATATATTAGTAATATATTAGAATGTTTTTTGTTCCTTGAAAATGTTTTAATATCCATATATTGCAATTACTTGCATTTTACTCATTTACAGTAAATCACGCTTACAGCAAAGTCCCACGGAAACCGATTTTAATTCGTAATAAATGTAATTTTTTAAAATCAGTTAACAATGCATTTTAAAACCATGGTGAATTAAAATCACTATGCTGTAAGCGTCAACCATGTTTTACTGTCTTCAGTTGAATATAATGCAAGGGTTCGGTATTATCCTTTCACGAGAAGGTTTTGTTATACCCCTACTAAACAGTCCCTATATAATTTCTTACTTTAAAAAGTCCAACAGTTTTCCCCGACTATCGGTCCAGGAACTGTTAAAATAGACTGTTAAAAAAGACTGTTGCCCGCTGACATCAAATGGCGCTAAATTGAGTTATCTTTTCCTCATTCGGCAAACCTCGGCTGATTCGGGTAACCGTGAGTTAAATGTAATTAGCCGAGGAGTGCCGAGTAATTTTAACCTGTCGTTAAGATAAACAGTAATGGCCGATGTTCGTTTTTCTGCGGCAAACGACGATGAAATCCAGGCGACACTTGAAAGTAGGACAGTAAAAATACGAAAAATATTTTCTAATAAATCTATGAATTTGATTTAGTAGGAGTATAACAAAACAGTTGTTGACAGGAGTCTCGGGAAACAGCCTGCGGCCTTGGGCAACAGCTTGCACACCGGTCCAACAGATCGACTGTTTCCCTCTACCCCAGTCAACAACTGTATAATGCTCCAACCTAACATTTAGGCTAAAGTGAGCTATTCTTATCAGAGTTTCATTATGTTTCTATGTATAGTTATAAAACAAATCACAAAATTTGATTAAGATTAAAAAACAATATCATGTCTCATTAATCAATTTTGAAAAAAAGCTTAGAAGCGTAATCTAATCTTTTTCGGTAACTATATTGTTGATTGCTTTTGGATTGGACTATTTTCGGCATAATGGTTACAATTCATTTAAATTATACGGAAGAAATGCCTTCTACAGCATGAGTTTTACCACGCCCTGACTGAAGACGATGTTCCAGATGAAGCAGAGAACATGAAGCCGAAAGACTTGACAGTGGAACTCTTCAGGTTGGCTGAGGGGCATATAAAATATTGGGGCACAAATACACAAACACCATCACATGTTTTCTCATAAACAAGGTCAAGCCCCTGTTGACTGATTCCTGTGTTGAAAATGGGAGAAATGACTGGCTCTATGTATAGGTTGAAAATCTCCCTCAACTAAATGTGTCAGGAAGTCAGAATATTTCATTTTTTCGATTTTTCTCGATTACAACTAGAGGCAGACTAATGACAATTAAGTTCATGCTACAAGGGTATCAAATTTTTTTTTAGAGTCAACAGTTCACACATTCTTTGGTGATACAATGACAATGTGTACAATTAAATCCTGTCACGAGGTTTAAAGTTTACTGTTAATACAAATTGTACAAATGTACTTGGTCTTTATACAGAAAATTACTCTGTCTATCTACTCAAGACAAAGGGCTCAAAGCTGTTGTGACTGTTTGATAAGGAGAGCGTACTTCTCCATGGCACCTTGTCCCACCTCTGATATTTTCAGAGGTCTGTGTTCGGAGTCTGCTCTCTTTTTGCAATGTTTATTTGAGCTTAGAGGTTTTATATATGTAGGACTCCAAAGTGCGATGGGACTCTAAAGTGCGATGGTCACGCCAAAGTGCGATGGTCTGCACCAAACCCCGATGGCTTGACACGCCAAAGCCCGATGGTTCACATGCAGTCGCCAGAGTCCGATGGTGTGACACGCCAAAGCCCGATGGTACGGGAAAACAATTAACGTTTATGACGCTAAATTGAGATGCCGCATCACGCCAAGGTCCGAGGTTTTATTGAATTTAACAAATACAATGAAATAAGTGAAGTAAACGAAAAGCGATCGATCTCCCAAAAAACCTACAAACAATACAAAAATGTGTACAGTTCATCAAATACGGACCCCTAGAAATAAACATTAAATACTTGATCGCCGAAGGGAAACTGGTTTACCAAAATTCTAAAAATATGATTATACTAGTAGTACAAAATAAAAGAAACAAAAAACAAATAAGGAAAATCGACTCAGAATGATATTTATTCCCAGACCCTAAATTGAAAATTGCTTTAAATCGATCAGTTACAGCATGTTAGGACGTATCAGGTATTTAGACAGAAGGTGAACTTTACAGTTCTCACAGTCCTCTACAGTGTACACTTTTCCTTTGCTATCATCCATGTCAATTTTAGTTATCCGCCCCTTCCTCCAGTAACCCGACAGAAAAACGTTTGTACCAGCGAAGAGGGCCGAATTCGGTTTAAAATCCACGATGTCGTCCAAGCTAGGATCAAACTTTTGCAATGTTGCCACAGTCGCTGCTTTTTTTTTTTTTTTTTTTGGAAAAAAGTTCCAAAGGGTACAATTCGTTATTCCAGTGGTCAGGATTCTGTTGAATAATTTATGCAAAGTTAAAATAAATGAATTTCTCAATTCTAATTATATTTTTGCCTGACATGGTCTCATACAGCGTATTTTGGTCCTACCTCTTCCATGGAGCAAATGGGGTCTGAATATCTCCTTTTGTTGCCTACTTTAGGGTACTGTAATAGCCGGTTATACAAATCTTTATAGTACGGACTTACACCGGACTGAAATAATTTTAAATTGCTTATATAACATGTTCAAAAATGTTTCGCAAGACTACAAATAAATAGATTTTAGTTCAAAATAAATTTATTCAGTAACATTATTTTCATATATGGTATTGTAATGCAAGTTATTCAATCTACCTGCAGCTGTTGGGTATTGCGTATGACCTGCGAGTTCGTAATATCTTGCAGTGGTGTACGGCTTTCACAGTGCCGAGGAGACAAATCCAGTGAGAACTTATTCAGATCTTCAGTAGTGCCCTGTTATGACAAATTTAATTTTAAAATATAAGATATATATTTTTTAATAGGCAATATAGAAATAAACGGGCAATACCATTCATAACGAAGGGGGGGGGGGGGGTACCTACCGTTGCTATATCATTATGATCACTTGTTGATATGTTTGGCAGCTGTGTTGAAATTGGATGTCGGCTGGTTTGACTAAATAAATAACACAAAAATGTACGATTATTAATATCATTTGCTAAACCATTTTAGAATGAGTAATTAATAAATGCATGAAATATATATCGAAATATTTCGACATTCTTTTTATCCAATGATTATTATTAACATATATGACAGTAATGTAGCACCTCTAAGTCTTCGTTATTGCTGACATTTTCGTCGTCCTTATCATCTTCTGCATCATCCTCCTCTACGTCAAGGAGAGCTCTCTCCAGAAATTCCTTCTCTTCCCTGGTTAAGTTACACATCGGTATCTAGAATTTATAATTATTGACATTTTGAAATTCATGTCAAAATTCGAAAAAGGTATATTTTATATTAAAATATAAGATAAATGTAAAATGTCATTTATTGTATCAATTAAAATCACATGTGGATTGACTTTATTTTACTGGTCCCCAGATCCGCATGATCCCTGTGCTATGACTTTAATCCTCGCAAAAAATGAGACTGATTAAGGTTAGTCTCTTATCCACCCGGTTGATTAGGTTTGGTCTCGCAGCCAACCGGGGGAGTAAGGTTAGTCTCGCACCCAACCGAGGGATTAGGGTTAGTTCTATAGTTAGTTAGCTCATGAAACATGTTTCTCAAATCAATTAAACCCCCACCCCACCCCAATACACACACAAACACACCCCTGCTGTAAATACACAGGATCTGGGTGATTTCCTTGAATTTGTACAAATAAGGACAGGATCAAAGCTTCATGCACTTGTTAATGTTTTGAAGATTTATACCTGTTCTTCTACCACGACAGAGAAGTTTGATCTCTTGAAGAACATCTGATGTGGAGTCATGGGCTTTGTAGACTTGTGGACGCGGTTATTGTATTTGTAATAAAACTCCTCAACGTTAATTGGCCAATCTCTAGTGTCAACAAATTGAGTTCTGAAGTATGCCACCACAGTTCTATTAAACCTTTCGACTCGCCCTGTAGCATTATTTCAGGTATACTTGTATAGGTTTTTTTTAATTTATAGTCTGTCCCACGGTACCAAGGACCTCACTTTTCGCCTCATATCTCAAAATGTATAAATACCTTGGTCTTCAAATTAGGTTCGATCGATGGATCATTTTTTTTCCAAACTTCCTCCATTTATCCGAACCCTCGAGTTCAACCGGTGTATTGACACGGCGGCAAATTCAAAGTCTACGGAGATTTAACATTACCAAAATGGCCACCACTTTGGAAGGGGATCCATCATTATTCGTGATTTTCCGTAGATCGCCGTCAGTGACATAATGACGTAACTCGCGTTCGGGAATGCTCTGTGCTTACCGATGTACGGAACGCAATACAGCCCGAGACTTTTCAAGTGCCCAATAAACACAGATTTTTCAGCGAAAAAATTGCAAAAACAGCGTCTACGACGTATCCGAGAACAAGTGTTTAACACTGCTATAAGAAAAGAGGTAAGATTCAACTCATATCTTCTTCATAAGTCATAACTGACAAAAGTAATCTGTAATGGAAAGAACGATCGAGGCTACAACAAAATTCAACCAAGTGACATCATTGCTCTACCAACACAGCATGATAGATCTATCTGTAAGCGAGTATTATAGTAATTTCTAATAATTTAGATTTGTAATTAATTACAACTTTACCTTTGCCTCGCAAATAAATCCAACACACTAGACAGTTTACTGTAGCTGTAGTTTGTTGTAAACACGGTTAAACAGTTTGTTAAACATCACTTGTAACACGAATTCACAATGCTTACTGCTCTGGTACATTTATAACTCTTAAGCAAATACAAATCCATGTTTATGCATTTTGAATCACTGTGCAAAACAAGATCTAAATGTTGTCTGCATCAAACTACGTCATCAATGGATTTTGACCTTGGCCTTGGAAAACTTCCTGTATCAGCATTAGGTAAACGCAGGCCCTGGGATTTCAAACAATTATGTATTTTTAATAATTTTTTTTACATATGTAGCAGTTCTAATGCCAAACATAAAATACAAAGATAGTAATCACACAACCCCCAGAACATGAATGGAATATACAAGTATATATTTTTAATTTATTGTGTTTATTTGTATACTTTAATTTTAGCTCACCTGAGCCAAAGGCTCAAGTGAGCTTTTCTGATTGAAATTTGTCCGTTGTCTGTCGGCGTTGTCGTCGTTGGCGTCAGCGTTGTTGTCGTAAACATTTCACTTTTCATCTTCTTCTCCAGAACTACTGGGCCAATTTCAATCAAACTTGTCACAAAGTATCCTTGGGTGAAGGGGATTCAAGTTTGTTCAAATGAAGGGCCACGCCCCCCTCCAAGGGGAGATAATTACGAAATAGCAAAAAATTAATGGCATTATTGAAAAATCTTCTTCTCAAGAACCAATGGGCCAGGAAAGATGAAACTCATGTGGAATTATTTTCATTTAGTGTAGACTCAAGTTTGTTCAAATCATGACCCCCGGGGGTAGGGTGGGGCCACAATGGACGATCAAAGTTTTACATATGGATATATAGGAAAAATCTTCAAAAATCTTCTTCTCAAGAACAGCAAAGCTATGATTGGTCATATTTATATGGAAGCATCCTCAGGTGGTGTAGATTCAAGTTTGTTCAAATCATGACTCCCAGGGGTAGGATGGGGTCACAATGGACGATCAAAGTTTAACATAGGTGTATATAGGTAAAATCTTCAAAAATCTTCTTCTCAAGAACAGCAAAGCTATGATTGGTCATATTTATATGGAAGCATCCTCAGGTGATGTCATGTGGGTTCAAGTTTGTTCAAATCATGACCTCCAGGGGTAGGAAGGGGCCACAATGAAAGTTCGAACTTGTAGAGAAAAAAGTCACAATTTGTCAAAAATTCATGTAAGCATCCTTAGTTAGTGTAGATTTAATTTTGTTCAAATCATACCCCCCCTTTTTAGGGGTAGGTTGGGACTACTTATGCATTTAAGCTTTTCAATACTAAACAGATTTTTCCTCTTTT